AAGGTGTGATCCCAGCCAAGGTCTGGGTGTATGGCTGTCACATGATGTTCAATCAGATCCATGTGATTATCAATGTCGGGAAGGCGACTTTGGATATCCCAAAGGCTCTCATATCCTTGTAGCACGTTTTCCATCAGGCGAATGACACGGTGGATGGTCTTTCTGCCTCGTTGGAAAAACCTGAATTTGAAATCCAATTGTTTGAGGATGAATAGCAGGTCTTTAGCATGACCTCCGACTGGATGGTTACCCACGAAAAAGGGTTGGATGACACCTTGCCAATTGTTGACAGGAACATGAGGACGGTGATGAGGCATGTTAATATTCTGTGGCAGGTATATGCAAGGTTAATTTATGAGCAAATGTTATATGAGGATGTGCAAGAGCAGCAAATATTGATAAGGAGATGATTTGTTCGGTTCTTGAAGAGTGGGAAATTTGGAAGGCGATCCTCAATAAAAGGAAAAAAATTTTGTTTGCCAAGTCAAAGAATTACAAAAGGGATCTTAATACAAGTTTTATTTGAGACCATTTGTCTTATGTTCTGGAGCGCCGTCTATTATTAGCAGCCGACTGGTACTGCTTAATGAATTGGGATCGGGCGTGAATCTTTAGCTCATGGTCTAGGTTGGCTGCATTACTTTGGTACCGATCAATCAGATGTTGCTCATCGTTGATATGTCCTTCCAAGACAGACCTTTCTTGATGGAGCGTCTTCAGCTCTGCTTCTTTTTGCTGGATTGACCCCTCGATTTGTGCCTTGGTATTATTCAGGCTTTCTAGTCGGCCAATTGCTTGTTGAATGGATTCCTTGGTTTTAATCAAGGAGGCCTCTAGACTTACTTGTTCCAGGTTGGGCAAGGGGGTCTCAGCCGTCAAAAGTTGGGCGAACAGAACTTCATTTCTGAGTTCGGACAGTCGCTCCATTAATTGGTGAAGAATAGGGGCAGCAGCCGACTTTGAAGACATTTGGAACAAGAGACCAACAACAGCTTGAAGAAGGCTGTCAAGCAAGTCTGACCCCAGGTCGGGGAAAGATTGGTCAACAGCCTGTGCAATTACAGTTCGAACGTCCGTCGGAATGGGGACCGCCGATAAGAGGGCTAGGTCAGAACATCCCTAAAATAAAAGATGTTTATCTCAAACTGAATGAAAAATGAGTATTGAAAATTGATTGTGAGAGGTTGCATATACCTATGGACGGATGGTGGTTGTTGAAGGTGCCAAAATAACCCTAAGTCTGGAGGGTCGGGCGGCTGGTATTTCGATAGCTGATTCGTCGGCTGTTTCGAGTGGATGCTGAGGTATGGATCCAGGTCCCTGAATGGTGGAAATATAGTGTGTCAAAGGTCATGCTAGCTTGTATTTTGGTACATTGGAAGAAGAAATTTCAAGTGTTTACCAGGTTGACAGAGGTCTCTGAGTCAGATGAGGGAATTTATGGTAATTCCTGTAAGAGACCTCTTGGTGGTACTGGTGCAGGTTCATTTTCTCGTTTATCTGCTTCTAGAAGAGGGTCTGCTACCCCTGGGTTGGCAACCTCCAAGTCGGCCGCTGCTGGGTCGGCAACCTCCAAGTCGACCACTATTGGGTCGGCAACCTCCAGGTCTGCTACCCCTGGGTCGGCAACCTCCAAGTCGGCCGCTGCTGGGTCGGCAACTTCCAAGTTGGCCGCTGCTGGGTCGGCAGCCTCCAAGTCGGTTGTCCCTGGGTCAGCAACCTCCAAGTCGGTCGCTCGTTGGTTTGATGTGTCTGGGACGGTTGCATCAGAGGCAGCAGAAGCAACATGAGGTAACCTGTCCATATCTGAAGAAATTGTCTCACTGGGAGATAAAATCCTTGTTGTTACATGTTCGGTGGATGGAGGTATTTTACTCGAAGCCCGGTGCTTGGTCGGAGGTTCTGGTTCCGGTAGTGGGCCGGTCGGTAGCTTTGTTGTTTTAGTGGGTCTGGAAGTAGGTTGGGCGGTCGCTCGAGCCGAAGCCACACCTGAGTATGAATTGAGGATTAATATTTTGTTAAGGGAATAATCAAATTACATTGAGAGTATACCTGAACGGGGTCGGGTCCTTATAAGGAGCCGACCTGATGGACGCTTTGTTGGGGACGGGTGACTGTTCCCAGAAGGGGGAATAGATTGAGTCTGAGGGGCTTTTCTCTTCCTCTGTGGAGTACCCGACTCATCGCCTTGAGTAATCAGGTTCCTTCGGGTGTTAGTCAGAGGGATTGTCCCTAACGTAATTGCAGGTGGGGGAAGAAGTATGCCCAGTAAACGATCCTTGTCAGGGGCAATCAAGGCCCAAGTAACCGACCACCACTCCCGAAAAGACTCAACATAAGTTGGAGAAGATTTGTAAGGAATGTAAGAATTAGAGGTAATGTAATTTGTAAGTTGTCATATGTATCGGGCAATTGCATCAATAATAGCTCTCCCATCCGGACTTTGAATTATTAGATGGGGATGAGCAATGGGACCAGACAGGCCTTGTTGGCATCCGAATTGGCGTGCCACAAATTGAGGTTGATAATTGAAGGTATAAAATATTTTGGGACCCTTTCTGTCGATTTTTTTGCTGGTAAATAAAGACCTGGGTTTAAGGGCAACATCCCAGGAGAAAGGGTAATTCGGATGTGGAAGTGGATTTGGTTGAGACAAAGGTAATGGAACAGGGAATGGCCAAAACAAGCTGGATGCATAACCGATATACTTTTTGTGTGGATAAAAATGGTTATCATTTCGATTATCAGTAAGGATAGTTGTTATGATTGGGTCAGAGGCTTGGAGATTATTACGGCCTAAACAAAGTCGGTTAAGGGCTACTCCTAGGGATTTTTCAAGTGTGGGGGCAACAGGAGGATGACCAAGTTGGAAGGCGTCGGGAAAATAGAGACGGAACCATAGTTCCAGGAACCAAAAAGGACCCGACGCAGCAGTTTCTAACTTCTTACCATCTTTATCAGTAAGGCAGACACTGACCCTGGATAACCCTTCAAAGAGATTGGCAAGGAAATGGGTGCCTAATGAGAGGAACCGACCCAAGGCTATGTGTATAGCAAGATCAAGATGAGAAGGGAGGACACATTTCGAATGAGATACTACAACATACTTACAGAGCCAAAAGAGGAGAAAAGTTGTGTGCTCTCGATCGGTTACAGTGGTCCCGTCAGCTCCTTGTTGGTCAATTAGAAATTTAGTCCAGCCCCATTCTTTCACATCTGTCAGAGACCAGCCCGCGTGGTCTGAGTTGGGTTCTTGCCCATCTAGGGCACCCATTACAGGATCTTCCCCAACGATTGGCAAATGAGCGATCATGGCTATATCCATGAGGGTGGGGCCAATGGGGGCTGTTGGAAGAAGGAAGGTGCAAACCTCAGGATGCCAGAACGCCGCCATGGCTAGAAGAACTTTCTCATGTAAATGACATGGAAGAGTTGACAGAAATATGGCCTGATCGATTTGCTGAATTTTCCATTGCTCCTGGTAATGTTCTGCCACTCTCTGATACTAGGTGCGGTAGAGGTCCTTGGGATCTGTCAAGTGTGTTTTCATGCTGTCATGAAGACGGGTTGCATTGTAGTTGGGATTTTTGATCGCCAGCAGATTCTTTGCCTCCAAAACTTCTCTCATACGGTTGGAGTCTTCAACAGTTGTGCAATATGGACGAACAGTTGGGGTGCACATTCTCGTCGCCACAAGAGTGGTTTCAGGGATTGATCCATCGACAGGGAGTGCAGGGATGTATCGATTCGCCATGTCTAGGGTTGTAGAGATTATGATTCACAAAGGCTCGTATTGAAGGAAGGGAAGTTAATCAGGAGTGTTGTAACTGGTGCAGTTGCTAAGGGACTTTCTCAGGAGGGTTGTGATTTATGAACTTCCAAACGACGATTGATAAATGGCGTTTAAAATTCCCTTGGCGGCGGACAAGTTGTTACGCATGAAATTTAGAATTGGGTTAAAAAGCCCAAGGTAAAAGAAAAAATGGGCCTGGTAATAGAGTTGATCGAACTGGCTGAAGGGCACCGTGGGAAACTCAAGGAAAATAGGTTAAGTTCTAAGGAGAATGCAAAACGGAAGGTCCTCAGGTCGGGAAGTCCTCAGGTCGGGAAGTCTTCAGGTCGGAAAGTCCTCAGGTCGGGAAGTCTTCAGATCGGGAGGTCCTCAGGTCAGGAAGTCCGCAGGTCGGAAAGTTCTCAGGACGGAAAGCATTCAGGTCGGAAAGTCCTCAGGTCGGGAAGTCTTCAGGTAAGGAGGTCCTCAGGTCGGGAAGTCCTCAGGACGGAAAGTCCGCATGTCGGAAGGTCCTCAGGTCGGGAGGTCTGCGACTAGACCAGTAAGTCGGATGGTCTTTAGGTCGGGAGGTCTACGACTGGATCAACAAGTTGGGTGGCCCGCAAGTCGGGAAAATTGGTAGTCGGGCCAATAAGTTGAAAGAGTAGTGTTCGGACCAAAAGGGCGGAAGGTCTGCGGTCGGTCCAAAGAGGCGGATGCTGTTAAGAGTGGAATAGAGTGATAATGTTGGTCTGCTAAAGACACGTGTCAGCAGGAGAAGAGTTGGCAGACGGTTGAAAAGGAGACGTTGTGAAGAGTTGGCAGACGGTTGAAAAGGAGACGTTGTAACCGTTCAGGCGACGGTTTCCAGTATAATCTCTCAGGAAGTATTTAAGGATTGAATTTTTCTTGAGAGAGCATCTTCAATCAATTTCAACAAAGCAAAGTCGAATTTGGGGATCACCACTTTAAATTTCCAGCATTTTATTTTCCAGTTAATTTCTTTATGTACCGTACAGTGTTTATAAATTCCTAAGATCAGGCACTAATTAATCAAGCTTAAAGATATTTTCCATATCTTTGAATTTTACTTTTTATTTGTTGAAAAAATACATCAATATTTATTATAATTTTTTAAATAAATATAAATTTCTATAAAAAAATTTATATAGGCGAGATAAGCCGCGCCGATATGCCGTAAAGGCCGATCTGCGACAGTGAACCATGCTTCCAAACGAAAAAAGATATTTGCATGGCTTGAAACACTTAGTGTAGTAAAATTGCAAACACTCGCTCATACTTGTTTAGCAACGTAACCAGCCATTGGTCATACGTAACACAACACTAACGATTTGATTTGATCTCTGGAATTAAAGATTCATGCGGATCCTCCATGGTTCATGTTCCAAAACTCTACTTCATGTTCCAGTACCTGCAAGAAAATGAGCTCAGCTTTGGCGAGCATATCATCCGATGCCTGCGCCAATCTACGGTTTGCTATGCTTTCCAGTGTACGGCAGTACTCAGCAAAACCGTCGTTGCCCCATCTTCGGCACGTCTCTTTCAGTTCCTCTGGGGTTTTGGAGCCATCTTCTAAGCAGTGAGCAAAGCTCTGCTGATACACAACCTCAATTGCCCAGAATGCTGTTATTGCCCTGGTGTACTCCATCTCTGCCCCTGCTAAACTCTCTAAGAATCTGGTTGCAGACACTACTTTCGAATGATCAACATAGATACATACAATACATATCTACATACTTACATACATGTTCATTCGTACCTGCAATACTCAAGGTTTGCCCGTTGAGGCGCAATGGAGTCCAACGCAACGCCCCACTTGGAAGCCTCCTTTTTAAACCAACTAATCTCATCATTCAAAGCAGCAACACCGCCCAAAATTACTTCTACATCTGACTTATCATCAGATTCCTTCCAAGCTTTTACTAATACACTCGCCACAAAAGGGACAAATGCTCTCACAAATATGTAATCCTGTCCCTGCATTTCATTTCACATTTCTAGAATCACTGATTCACTATGCAAATTTCCGATATTATTATATATGCAGCACCAAAAATACTGTTGATTGATGTTTTTCCACAAGGTTCCAAAGAATTAAAGTCTGAGTTGTTGTTATTATTATTGTAGATACAACCAAATCCCTAAATCAAGATTGGGAGAGAACAAATGTTGACATCGAAGTCAACATCCTTAATTGTTCTTCAAACATAAAAGTAATTACGCTTAATCCGCTGGCAGAAACAATTCGGAAACTCTCAAAACTGGAACACAACTGAAAGAGCTAGGAAGGAAGATAAACAGCTACTTACCAGCCACCGCTTGAAGGAAGAGAGATCGACGGAACCCTCGCGGATATCCAGAATGAAAGGATGTCGCGTGGCTCCGACGTACATCTGCGTGTGCTTCCTCAGCCACGTTTCAGTGATTGTCACTCCGTCAGTCCCCTCCATTATTTCTTTATTTTGTTCTTCTATGCGTTTCACTTTTTTAACCGGTGAAGGAGACGAAGAAGAAGAAGAAATAGAAAGTAGGCACCGCACCGCACCGCACCGATCAGCACATGTCATGCTTCGCAGATTTCTAGAAACAGCTGGAAAATATAAATGACCAAAATGTGCTTCTTTTGTGTATTGGATAAAAATACAAAAGGCAAAGAATTAGATACGATAAATTAGACTTAAAAAGAAAAATTATTATTATGTGAGGCTATCATTTCAAATTCAAGATATGGCATTAGGGAGTTGTGCTATGTATTAAATTAATTATTTGGTGTTATTTTTTTCAAATTATAAATATTTATATTTTATATTTTCTTAGTCTCATCACAATTATTATTATTATTATTATTATTATTATTATTATTATTATTATTATTATTATTTGTTTATAATAATTGATATATTTCTATTTTAGGTAAAAATTATTAAATTAAAATATATTTAATAAATATAAATAATTTAATTAATTACATAATATATAACATCATAAATAACTTATAATTCACTTAAAACCTTTTTTATTTCTATCTCTCTTCTCAAAAAATAAATAATTTTTTATTTATATTTAATACTACATCTCTTTTATAAAATTAATTTATATTAATTATAATTTAATAAAAGTATTTTTTTATTTAATTGTATTATAGAAAATTTTACTCTCTACAAAACGTATTCATATTGCATATATTTTTTTATTGCTATATAATTTTTAAATATTGAAACATATATTTTAATTTTTTTAATCATCCATATTATATTTACTTTAAAATTATAAATATTATTAATTACATTAAATTTAATAAAATAACATCATAACTCATTATTAATAAATAATTAAATATTTTTACCTTAAATGCTATGTTCCTAATTAAATGGTTCAATTTAGGTGGGACGAAAGGAGTATTATTTTTGCAATAGGGAGTTGTGCTATGTATTAAATTAATTATTTGGTGTTAGCCTTTTTAGGATGATAAATTATTTATATATTATATTTTTTTGGCACTTTGATTTAAATTTATATTAGATAAAATACATTTAAGTTTATTTTTTACATATTATTTCCATAGTATTCTCTACTTTTATAAAATGTTTACATATATCTCCCTATTATTCATTTTGGCTCTGGGAATGATAAGTTTATATAACGAATATATTATATACTTCCGTTGAATTTACGTAAATTTACATTTTCTACTTTCGTACTCTGAAATTATCGTGCTATACAGATTTAATTGCAAAAGTGATGTACTTTGGTTATTATTTATATACTATAACCGATTAAAAAAATAATATACAAAAGAACAACCGAACCTATAAAATACACATGATCTAAATCACTTATTTTCTTGAGATACCTTTCTTCTTCCACTTTCAGACCGTCAGCTTCGATCCTCAACCTTGAAATCATCATTATCACTAAATCGAAAGTCTTTTTTTTTTTTCATCAACAACCAACCGAGATGATAAAACAAATGTGTACATTCTGCTCGAAATATCAAAGAGGGTCTCCTCTCCCAAATAAAATTCTAAGAATTAAGTTAAATTTTTATATTGGTAAAATCGATATTTTAGTTTTATGCTTTCGAATTCGTGGTGTATTCTAATCTCTTTGTTTTGTGCCTCTGTATGGTTTGTACAAGCCTTGGTGCTAGCCAAACTTATTTCGGCATCGTAACCCACAATTGTTTCAAATATAAGTTATTTTGATGTGGTTTAATTGTAAATAATCTTATTGTATATAGAAGAATCTTTAGGTATGTTTCTTTGGTATTAGTTTTTAAAGATTTGGTTTTGGTTTGGGTTGAATTTGAATTTTTTTTGTAGTTTTGGGAAGATGCGTTCCATTGGGTTAATAGGTTTTGTTTTGGTTTGAGGGGTTTTAATAGATATTGATTTGATAGGTAATAATATAATGATGTAATGTGTATTAAATTCTATTTATATAATTAATAATAGTGTGATTTTAGTATTAATTTATATTAATTACAAATAAATAATTATATAAAATTTTATTCTCTACAAAATGATATACATATTATATATATTTTATTTAATTATAGTTTATAATTGCATTAAATCGTTAAGTAGTTCTACTGTCGTATGAGTGTGCGTGCAGACCGAAGTGTATTTATCTGTTTTGAAAAAGTCAAAACCTATTTATGTAGGCTTCAGATTGTCTTATAGGGCGATGGTTTGACGCTTAATTAGGCTTCCACAGTAACAACACAATGAGTTTTCCAAACTCACGGCCAAAGAAACAAAGCCTTTATTTTTATTTTGTTAGGTTTAATTTTGTAGTAAAATGGTTCAGATATCATGAGGTGGTGGAGTTCAATTTTTATTTTTTCAAATACCGTAGGTGTCGATTTCTCATGTTGGAATTACTTTTTTTAAGTACTGAAAGTGTTTGTTGATATCTCTATCACAGAGGTGGTTGTTCATGTATCTATTTTGTCGATTTATAAAAATTTTGTTTGCTTTTACTATTTCGTGTGAATGCCTTTATATACTTTTGGTTACAACAAATGATATATAATGTATGTCCTAGTTTTTAATTAGCGTTCCTCTACAAAAAAGTTACATACAACTATATAGTTATTTCATTAACCTAAATCGGGGTTGTATATATTCTTGCAAACTTATCTTTTTTTAATATATATATATATATATATATTGTCAGGCCCAAGGTGAGAGCCACAATTATGGGCCACTAATATGTATGTTTCCTTAGAGTTCCGTGTTATACAACACGAAAACTTACCCGCCTAGCAGATGATCTAACAAATTTGATAATATTAAAACATGTCGGGCAAAACTTATTGTGAATATTTTATTAGGAGAAATTGACGCGGCTATTTAGTATTATTTATCGAATTTGTATGCTAATTTTTATACATGAATTGGAAATAACTTAGGTATGAAACATATAATTGCCAAGTTTGGGTAGTTAGTCATTAATGCAAGATTTCATGGTTGGATGTCAAAAAATCCCTAAGTTTAAGCCAGATACCCCCAATGATGATATTTATTCATTCATTTCACTAAGTTACATACTTCTGAATTGATTAAAGTACTCGCACTGACGAATAGAATGTATAAGTATCTTTATATATATTCGACGTATAATGAGAAGATGTGTACTCACTAAATTATTTTGAAAGCATTGATGTACACGTTTCATGTACAGATCAACAACTAAACGTTTCTCACACCATAGAAAGGTTAAATATGTCTCATGAATAAGATTTACTTCATATATCTTCTAACACGTTTCTTCTTATTTGGAGTTTGTTCATACTCACAAAAATACTTGCACAGACAATAACAATTCATATAACATCATACATCATCAGTTATACACTAACTCCAAAATATCTATTATTATGGTTCACCATATGATATGTTATGTCATACCTATCTTAAGTGAAATTCTCATTTATACTTAAAATACATGGTTAGGTGATCCCATAAGTCCTTTCAAAAGTATCCGTTAATGCACATTAACATCTGACAACATGAGGGTGATAAAATCATCTCGTAGTTGTTCGATCCAGCAAGAATCGATGAATAATTCTTGAAAAAATTCTTAAATATCTTTGTTTACAAAAAAATATACTTGTATAAGAATACAAATGCTTCCATACACAAATATGCAACTTCTTAATTGGATATGTACACTTCTTGTCATACTGAATATACCATAGGCACATAACATAATACTTGTATTTTTATAGTAATAACTCCATCAAAAAATTAAATATCACATAAATAAATGTGATTTATATAATATAATTTTAGGTAAATAACGAGGGTATACTATGGACATGTTATACCATAACGAGTACTAGGGGACATAAAGGACCTTAAGTATTACGTAGAATTTAATAAGCAAATATCATGTGTAATATACTATCGTTGTTAATAAGTACTCCCTCCGTCCCACTTAATTTGTCCACTATTTCTATTTTCGTCCGTCCCATATAATTTGTTATTTTTTTTTGAAATACAATTATACACTTTACTCACATTTTCAAATTCATAATTTAATATAAAATTATTTTTACTAATATACTTCTTAATTACTCACTAATTATACAATACCTAAAACTCCGTGACGAATCTAAATGAGACAAATTAGCTGAGATCGAGGGAGTATTACTCATAGTCAAATTTTATATAACTACAATAACATGTAAGGTACTTTTGTTTGAATTCACATAACCTGTAATATACTTTTGTAATAATTAATTATTTAATTTTTTATTTCTTATCAATTTATATATACAATAAAAAAAATCTTAATTTAACTGCAACTATAAATATATAAAAATGCGATCTTAATTTTGTATCTTTTTTTTTAAAAAATTTATATTGAGAAGATGATAAATCAATTTTTCAATAGTAACATTAAAAATAATTATATAAATATATATATTGTTCAATATAGGATAAACAAGTAAATTATGTATTGTTTATTACTTCCTTCGTCAAGACACTTTATGTCATATTGTCTGGACAAAGACTAAGAAATTAAATTATTTTAATATAAAAGTGAAATAAGTAAAAAATAACTAGAGGATATTATAGTAGGATAAGTAGAACAATAGTGACAAATTTGTCATTATTTGCTAAAATAAGAATAATGAAATTATATGCGGATAAAGTTATTTATTATAAATAAATTATGCATAAGTTTAACGGACAAAAAATGACATGGGCCGACCGTGTCTAATTATGCCCAAAGTATTTTTCTTATCCACAAAGTTCAATTGAACCAAATGATTCAGAATATGGATGAAAGAAGATAGAATGAAAAAGAAAATATAGTGCAGAGAATGTAAATTAATATCGATGATAACCAACCAAAAAAATAAGTCTCGACCTGAAATCAAACCATAGGTTAAAACAAAAATAATAGGCTAAATCTCACTGCAAAAGATTGAAAGCCACGATCCGATTGAATCACTCCAAAGACCCGATTTAAGACTCTAAATACGAGAAAATCACTTTCTAACACTAAAAAAATTATAAAAGCGAAATATTATTCTAGATATAAAAAGTTCTCATTATCACGATAGACAATGACCTTATA